ATCCATTGGTCAGCAGATAGGGGCATGCAACTCTAAAGGGATGCCAGGAATGTGTTTTTTCATATAACGCTCCAGCCATTGAAAGAAGATCTGAGGCAGGCTGCTGGAGGAGACTGCTGGAGGAGACTGCCGGAGGAGACTGCCGGAGGAGACTGCCGGAGGAGACTGCTGGCCTCTTTTACTAAGCCCAATCCCCAGCAGGCAACTCAAGGCAAAACGTTTTTGGATAGAGTGGAGATGGAATAGAACACCAGAAAATCCCACATTTTGGATTGTCCCCAGAGCAGCAATAGAGGGAGTATCTTCCAATGGGGACACTGGTTCTGGTGAGCTGGGAGGCCCCAATGGATCCCCTTAATTTGCAAGGTTTCCCCTCACTTCCTGTTTTAGCTGTGGGACAGGAAGTGAAGGTAAATCTTCCCAATGGGATACAGATGGCAAAAAAAAAACTGACAGGGGTTACAACTAGTGATCCAATTTAGAACATTTTTTTTAATATAATTGTTATATATTCAACTTTTTAACTAATAGCATGAATTTAAATGAATGTGAAATTAAACAAATACAATCCAGTACCATAAAAAAATAACTTTTACTGAAAATAATAAATTTTATAAAATTAAATATATATATAAAATGAGAAAACTTAAAATAGAAGCATTTTTTTTTTGCATTGAAGTCAATAGGGGGCCTTTTTGCATTGAAGTCAATGGTAAACGATTTTACATTGAAGCCAATAGGACGTGATTTTGCATTGAAGTCAATAAGAAATGTTTTTACATTCAAATCAATGGGATGCAGTTTTGCATTGAGGCGAACACAACGCAATTTTGCACTGGAGTGAACAAGACGCAATTTTGCATTGGGGTCAAAGGAACGCGATTTTACATTGGAATCAATAGGTGGGTGATCTTGCATTGGCGTCAAAGGGACATCAGTTTGCATAGAAGTCAACAGGGGGCAATCTTGCATTGGAGTCAATGGGATGTGGTTTTGCATTGGGGTAAATATGACGCAATTTTGCATTGGCATGAATAGTACGCAATTTTACATTGAAGGCAATAGGAGGAGTCAAAGGGACGCGATTTTGCATTGGAGTCAAGGGGGGGGGGGGGGGGGACGTTTTTTTTTACACTGGAGTCAATAGGACGTGGTTTTGCATTGGGGTGAAAATGACACAATGTTGCACTAAAGGCAATAGGAGGCGTTTTTTACACTGAGTCAATAAGGGACATTTTTACACTCGAGTCAATAGGACACAATTTTGCACTGAAGGCAATAGGGGGCGTTTATACATTGGTGTCAATGGGACGCGATTTTGCATTGGAGTCAATAGGACGAAATTTTGCATTGGAGTCAATAGGACGAAATTTTGCATTGGAGTCAATAGGACGAAATTTTGCATTGGAGTCAATAGGACGAAATTTTGCATTGGAGTCAATAGGACGAAATTTTGCATTGGAGTCAATAGGACGAAATTTTGCATTGGAGTCAATAGGACGAAATTTTGCATTGGAGTCAATAGGACGAAATTTTGCATTGGAGTCAATAGGAAGCAATTTTGCATTGGAGTCAATAGGAAGCAATTTTGCATTGGCGTCAATAGGAAGCAATTTTGCATTGGCGTCAATAGGAAGCAATTTTGCATTGGCGTCTATAGGAAGCAATTTTGCATTAGATTCAATAAAATACGATTTTGCATTGGATTCAATAAAACGCGATATTGCATTGGCGTCTATAGGACGTGATTTTGCATTGGCGTCAATAGGGGGCAATTTTGCATTGCAGTCAATAGGGGGCAATTTTGCACTGGAGTCAATAGGGGGCAATTTTGCACTGGAGTCAATAGGGGGCAATTTTGCACTGGAGTCAATAGGGGGCAATTTTGCACTGGAGTCAATAGGGGGCAATTTTGCACTGGAGTCAATAGGATGTGATTCCGCATTGAAGTCATGACATCATGACATCTTTTTTGCTATTGGCAAAACGCTGACAACCCTCTTTTCAGCCGATAGATTTCGGTGGCCGTTCTATTGGTGCATCACTAGTTATAACCCTTCTTTACTCTATCCAAAAGTTAAAATAAAAAGTTTTGCCTAGAGTTCTACTTTAAATGCCATTAACAATGACACTTCAGCTTGCAGCAGCTTTGGTTTGCCTTTTCTGAATAGAGCTAAAGTCACAGTAGTAGGCATCCCCTGCAATAGCAGTTTCAATCTCCAGGCTGTCACCCCATTGGGAAAATGGAAGATCCAGCCACTCTGGACTTGCATCGGTGGAAGAGTTGTGTCACATGATGACAGATCAGCCAATCCCCAGTGCAGATTGCGGTCCACATGAATGGTTGAGAGCAGGGGGGGGGGGGGGTACAATTTACTAGCTCCAACCCTAAGGCTGGCCATACATGATACAATCTTCCTTTAGATTTACCAAACCCATATAATATGAGGTCACGCCTAAACGCTCCCGATTTGTATGCAGTCAGGCAGAGCCTTGGCGCTACAAAAGTTGAAGGTAAATCTAAAAGGAAATTGAAGATTGTATAATGTATGGCCAGCCGAGTCATTATTACGGTTTTATTTCCACCCAACACATATAAGCATTATGCCCCGCCCCCACGTTCGAGGTACCAATGCCAGCAGATGCGTCTTCTACATTGATTGGCTGCAGTCTCCTGCACAATGATTGGGGTCACAACGGCTACCACAGCTCCCTGAAGAGGACGACTTCTATAATCTCTCAATTTAAACAATCGGCAAAAAATTCCTGGGCAACGGGCCCGGTTCCCGTCAGCTTCCTGCACAGGATTTATATATATTAAAAATAAAAAAGCTCTACCCTTTATTAGACCCACATTACATACAACTCTCCCTGATCCCGGCAATGCTCAGCTGAAAGGACCCCTGTCATGGGGGGGGGGGGGGGGGGGGGGAGGGGCGACTGCCATTGCTGGACTCTCCTTGTGAAGTTGCCTCGCTGGTATGTTGGTCCTCTTGCTTCATTACTTGAGAGTCACTAACCCAGGAGAAGCACGTAAAAACAAAAGACTTCCAAGTGTCTCAATCAGCGTGTTGTTCTGGGTCACCGGCTCAAGGTATGAAGACCAGGGGGTTGGCATGAAGGCCTGGGAGGTTAGCAATGCCATCCCTACAGGACAGGGGTCTCCAAACTGTGGCCCTTTGCCTGTCTTTATCCGGCACAGCATTATTCCCCCAACTGTTAACAGTGGGGCAGTTTCCGCCACTGACACCAATGATGGGGCAGTTTCCGCCACTGACACCAACGATGTGGCACTATTCCTCCCACTGACACCAATGATGGGGCACTATTCCTCCCACTGACACCAATGATGGGGCACTATTACTCCCACTGACACCAATGATGGGACACTATTCCTCCCACTGATACCAATGATGGGGCACTATTCCTCCCACTGACACCAATGATGGGGCACTATTCCTCCCACTGATACCAATGATGGGGCACTATTCCTCCCACTGATACCAATGATGGGGCACTATTCCTCCCACTGACACCAATGATGGGGCACTATTCCTCCCACTGACACCAATGATGGGGCACTCTTCCTCCCACTGACACCAATGATGGGGCACTATTCCTCCCACTGATACCAATGATGGGGCACTATTCATCCCACTGACACCAATGGTGGGGCACTATTCCTCCCACTGATACCAATGATGGGCACTATTCCTCCCACTGACACCAATGATGGGGCACTATTCCTCCCACTGACACCAATGATGGGGCACTCTTCCTCCCACTGACACCAATGATGGGGCACTCTTCCTCCCACTGACACCAATGATGGGGCACTATTCCTCCCACTGACACCAATGATGGGGCACTATTCCTCCCACTGACACAAATGATGGGGCACTATTCCTCCCACTGTCACCAATGATGGGGCACTATTCCTCCCACTGACACAAATGATGGGGCACTATTCCTCCCACTGACACCAATGATGGGGCACTATTCCTCCCACTGACACCAATGATGGGGCACTATTCCTCCCACTGACACCAATGGTGGGGCACTATTCCTCCCACTGATACCAATGATGGGCACTATTCCTCCCACTGATACCAATGATGGGGCACTATTCCTCCCACTGATACCAATGATGGGGCACTATTCCTCCCACTGACACCAATGATGGGGCACTATTCCTCCCACTCACACCAATGATGGGGCACTATTCCTCCCACTGACACAAATGATGGGGCACTATTCCTCCCACTGTCACCAATGATGGGGCACTATTCCTCCCACTGACACCAAATGATGGGGCACTATTCCTCCCACTGACACCAATGATGGGGCACTATTCCTCCCACTGACACCAATGATGGGGCACTATTCCTCCCACTGACACCAATGGTGGGGCACTATTCCTCCCACTGACACCAATGATGGGCACTATTCCTCCCACTGATACCAATGATGGGGCACTATTCCTCCCACTGATACCAATGATGGGGCACTATTCCTCCCACTGATACCAATGATGGTGGCACTATTCCTCCCACTCACACCAACGTCCGCCTTCCCCCTAATGTCTGAAGGACAGTAAACGGCCCTTTGTTTAGAAAGTTTGGAGACCCCTGCTCTAGGATACCTTCACAAGAGATGAGCCCAGACGTTCCCCAAGCTCAAAACTCAGACTTTTTTTGTACTCCAATCAGCTGCAGCCAAGGTAATTCCCAAAACTGAAGCTAAGGAAACGACCCGACCGACATCTCAAAGCAGAAGTTCTAGTTAGGGATGAGTTGGAGGACGCCCAAGCTCATCTCTAACCTGCAGATAAGCCAGCGGGAGCTCGTTTTGAGGAAGATCACATTGTAGCTCAAGAAAACTGAGAAAAAAAAAAAATTCTTCAGAGCAATGAGAACATCAGGACTGGGAAATAATCAGATCATGACCAATCCAGGCTGCTGTAGATAAAGGGATGATCATGTTGGGTGAGCAGGCCTCAGTCAACTTGAGGATGGGGAAGACTCAATGACCTCCATGTCTCCCTCAGCAACCTTCTCCAGAAAAGAGACCAGAGGATCAAACAAGGGTTGAGACTCCATAGAAGCTGGATGGAGCGTCAAGGTTGTAATCTCTTCTTCTTCCTCCTCCACCTTCCCCTTAACCTCCTTGGCATGTGTTCGTTGATGTTTGCGCAGGTCGGAAGGTACTAGGAAGCCTTTGCCGCACTGCTGGCACACGTGGGGTCGTACGTCGCTATGTATCCGCTGATGTTTCTTTAGCCCGGCCTTATCCAGGAACCCCTTCTCGCAATGCTCGCAACGGAAGGGCCTCAGTTCCGGGTGGCTCTTCTGATGGTTCTTCAGATCCATCACGCTTTGGAAGGTAATGGCACACTTCTCACAGGTGGTAGATTCCTCCTTCTTCTTGTTAAGTTCTCCTCCATCTGGTTTCATGTGGGTGCGCTCATGCTTCCTTAAGCTGGAAGACACGATGAAGGTCTTGCCGCACTCCTCGCACTTGTAAGGCCGTTCCCCGCTGTGGGAACGCTGGTGCTTGCTTAGCCCAGAACGTTCCGCGAACCCTTTCCCACACTCCGGGCACTGGAAAGGGCGTTCAGCGCTGTGAGACAAACGGTGGCGCTTCAGATCCCAAGATGCCACGAACGTCTTATCGCAGTCCGGGCAACGAAAGGGACGCTCGCCTGTATGGATGCGTTGGTGCATGGCCAAATCTGCCGGCTGCCGGAAGGGCTTGCCACACTTGTCACACCGGTACGGCTTGACGCCTTGGTGAGCCCGCTGATGGCGCCGGAAACTGGACGGGTCTGAAAACATGCGGCCGCACTGTGGGCACAGATATGGCTTTTCACCAGAATGGGTGCGTTGGTGGCTCTGGTAGGATGACAGTTGGGTAAAGTCTTTGTTGCAGATGGGACATTTGTACGGTTTTTCTCTGCCGCGTGAATTCGCTGGTGACACGTGAGAGAGGAGGCACGTGAAAACGCCTTCCCGCAGTCCGAACACAGGAACGGTTTCTCTCCCGTGTGGCTGCGTTCGTGGTTCTTCAGGTCTTTCAGTTCGCTGTAGGACTTCTGGCACAGCTGGCACTGGTAAGGTCGGAGCCCGGCATGACTCCTCCTGTGCTTACGAAAAACAGAGGGGTCGGCAAATCCCTTACCGCATTCTGGGCAGGAGAACGGGCGCTCGCCGGTGTGAAGACGTTCGTGGATTCGGAGCTTGGAGGGCGTGGCATAAGCTTTACCGCACTGCTTACAAGGGAATGGTAGCTGCCCGCTGTGGGTGGCCATATGAACTCGCAGGCAGATTGGCTGCATGAAGGATCGCCCGCATTCTTTACACACAAAAGGTTTTTCACCCGTGTGGCTACGGACATGGCTCCTCAGTAAGGACGCACTCTTGTAGGACTTATCGCAATGCTTGCACTGGTGCCGCTGCTCCCCCCTTTGCCTCTTGCTTTTTGGGTTTTGGAGAGCTGGAGTCCTCGGAGGATTTGTGGGCCTCACAGTGCCGCTTGGCTCGTGGCTCATTGGGGAAAGTTTTGCGACAGCTCAGGCAGCGAAACCTGCGCCCAGACTGCACATAACTTGGACTATCTTGTTCAATGGCCACCTCGATCTCCACCTGAGGCTCCATCTGTTCCGAAGACATCATAGAAGAGACCTGCAAGAAGGAAGGAGATCATCAATGTGCATTCCCTGCAGCCCTACACAAACCAACATCCGAGCTCAGGATTAACGGTCCAGGGGGAGCCAAGCTCCGGGGGAACGGTCCAGGGGGAGCCGAGCTCCGGGGGGAACGGTCCAGGGGGAGCCGAGCTCCGGGGGAACGGTCCAGGGGGAGCCGAGCTCCGGGGGAACGGTCCAGGGGGAGCCGAGCTCCGGGGGAAGGGTCCAGGGGGAGCCGAGCTCCAGGGGGGGGGGGGGGTTGGAGAACGGTCCAGGGGGAGCCAAGCTCTGGGGGGGGGAAGGTCCAGGGGGAGCCGAGCTCGGGGGGGGGGGGGGGGGGACGGTCCAGGGGGGGCCGAGCTCGGGGGGGAAGGGGGGGGGGGGGGGGGGACGGTCCAGGGGGAGCCGAGCTCCAGGGAGGAACGGTCCAGGGGAAGCGGAGCTCCAGGGAGGGAACGGTCCAGGGGAAGCCGAGCTCGGGGGGGGGGGGGAAGGTCCAGGGGGAGCCAAGCTCCGGGGGAACGGTCCAAGGGGAGCCGAGCTTGGGAGGAACGGTCCAGGGGGAGCCGAGCTCTGGGGGGGGGGGGGGGGGGGGGGGGGGGGGGGGGGGGGACGGTCCAGGGGGAGCCGAGCTCGGGGGGACGGGACGGTCCAGGGGAAGCTGAGCTCCAGGGAGGGAACGGTCCAGGGGGAGCCGAGCTCGGGGGGTGGGGGGACGGTCCAGGGGGAGCCGAGCTCGGGGGGGCGGTCCAGGGGAAGCTGAGGTCCAGGGAGGGAACGGTCCAGGGGGAGCCGAGCTCAGGGGGGGGGGGGGGGGGCGGTCCAGGGGGAGCCGAGCTCGGGGGGGGGGGGGGGGGGGGACGGTCCAGGGGGAGCCGAGCTCGGGGGGGGCGGTCCAGGGGGAGCCGAGCTCCGGGGGGAACGGTCCAGGGGGAGCTGAGCTCGGGGGGGGGGGGGGCGGTCCAGGGGGAGCCGAGCCCTGGGGGGGGGGGGGGATTGGTCCGGGGGGAGCCGAGCCCTGGGGGGGGGGGGGGGGACTGTCCAGGGGGAGCCGATCTCCGGTGGGGAACGGTCCAGGGGGAGATGAGCTAGGGGGAAACGGTCTGGGGGGAGCCGAGCTCGGGGGGGGATAGTGGAATAGTCCAGGGGGGAAGGGCTCAGGGGACCAGTTTTGGGATTGCACAGTTGAGGGGAATAGTCTGGGGGGGAGGGAGGGCTCAGGGGACCAGTTTTGATGTTGCACAGTTGAGGGGAATAGTTTAGGGGTGCAGGGCTCAGGGGACCGGTTTTGGGGTTGCACAGTTGAGGGGAATAGTCTGGGGGGGCAGGGCTCAGGGAAACAGTTTTGATGTTGCACAGTTGAGGGGAATAGTCTGGGGGGGCTCAGGGGAATAGTTTAGGGGTTCAGGGCTCAGGGGACCAGTTTTGGGGTTGCACAGTTGAGGGGAATAGTCTGGGGGGGCAGGGCTCAGGGGAACAGTTTTGATGTTGCACAGTTGAGGGGAATAGTCTGGGGGGGCTCAGGGGAATAGTTTAGGGGTTCAGGGCTCAGGGGACCAGTTTTGGGGTTGCACAGTTTGAAGGACTAGTTTTGGGGTTCGGCGATAAGGACACCCACCTACCGGCCCTCCTCCTGGGCAGTTGATGCGGGAGATCCTTCACACTGATCCCCAGCTGCAGCACCTCCAGCCAGCAGACAAAGCTTAACATGGCCGGACCTAGGACCCTGGGGGTGGTGGGGAGGAGCACACGCCGGAAGTGACTGTGCACCTTGTATAAGTGCCCTCCCATTATAACAGAACGGGGCTGGCATTCAGAGTAGGCAGGGAGGGCGATGATAAGGAAGCGGACGCCGGATTTACCTACCGCCGGATAAACATTACGAATCCAGCCCTGGGCCTCTTCTCATCCATTTATCCCTGAACGCTCCGGAACTATCACGCCAATTTGTTACTTTCTGGCGGACGGCAAAGACAGGCGCTCTGAGAGAGGCGCGGATCACACACCCACATGGCTCATTGGTCAGCACGCCATCACGTGTACTCATTCATCTTCCTCTGCCAACCAATGGCGGCCATTTTGAGATTGGCAGCCCGTCCTTTTTGAGAAATTGCGGCAGAGGCGGCCATCTTTTGTCCTGGCATCGTCATGTTATTTGTAGGGCAGAGGAGGACGGGCCAGTCCGGGCAAGGGGAAGATGTTCTCGGGTGCACATTTCCTGTTTCCTAGCAACAAAAGGAAGTGTTTGTTGTAGTGAGAGATGAGATAGATGAGCCCAGATTGATTCTTCAGGCCTCACCCCCAAGCTGGGGCCCCTCAGCAGGGACCAGAGAGCAGCTAGAGGCACAGGAGGGGCCCCTGGGAGAGACTATAGTACCTGTGGAGGGCCCCTGCCTGACTGGGCCCCCCTTCCTGCCCTCACACTGTCATTCATTTACAGCAGTCATCAGGAAATATCAGTATTGGCTTCCCCTCCCCCATCCTGTCATCTGAGTACCACTGGACCGCAGAGCTCGCACTCACTCGTTGGACATGGGCTGAGCCTCCATCCATCCGCCTGGTCGCCGAGCCGCCATTATGACACGGTGAGTATCACCACCGCATCCGCCGATCAGAATTATATTCATCATAAAATCATTTATTTCAAAAATATATATAATGAAATAATTTTGTTCCTGAAACCAAAACCCCCAAAAACCGGAGGAAAAGGGCAATTTTAGAAGAAAGACGGTGAAATTAAAAGCGTGCCTAAAAAAAAATTCAAACATGTTATGGACAATTTATAGGACATTTTTAGGATACTTTTTTTTTTTTTTTTCCAGCATTCAACTTTTAAGGGAACCCCCCCCCCCAAAAAAAAATGTGCATTTATTAATATCCCCGCCCCTAATAAGAATAAAGATAGAAATATATTTTTTTATGTTATTTATCTTTTTAATATCGAACTAATTTATATTTTCACGTGAGCTGAAATCTAACAGAATGAAAATGATTTACGTGAAGAAGAAAAATTTGATGTGTAGCAATTTTAAAATCAAGAAGTGTGCGTGGGATCAAAAAGTGAGAAAACTGCAAATTCAGGAAAACCTTTTATGATGAACTTTTTTCCCCCTTTTTTTTTTTTTTTTTTAGGCCTTGCACTTTACTTTTTAAGGGAATCCCAAAAAAAAATCAAAATTTGCTAATATCTCCTCTAATAAGAGTGAAGGTAAAAATATATTTTTTATACAGTGAAGGAAATGTGTATTTGCTTCCCGGCTGATGTTGAATGTTCGCCCCTCACACAGAAATGATCGGTCTAACAATGGAATGTTCGCCCCTCACACAGAAATGATCGGTCTAACAATGGAATGTTCGGTGTAACACTGAGAGACAGAATACAACAACAAATTCAGCAGAAATGCGTCTAACAAATGATGACTGATCTGCATGTTCATGAGGGAAAGAAGGATTTGATCCCCTTCACAAAACATGACTTGGTACTTGGTGGCAAATCCCTTGTTGGCAATCACAGAGGTCAGACGTTTCCTGGAGTTGGCCCCCAGGTTCGCACACATCTCAGGAGGGATTTTGGCCCACTCCTCTTGGCAGATCCTCTCCAAGTCATTAAGGTTTGGTGGCTGACGTTTGGCAACTCGAACTTTCAGCTCCCTCCACAGATTTTCAATGGATTAAGGTCTGGAGACTGGCTAGGCCACTCCAGGACCTTAATGTGCTTCTTCTTGAGCCGCTCCTTTGTTGCCTTGGCCGTGTGTTTTGGGTCATTGTCATGCTGGAACACCCATCCATGACCCATTTTCAATGCCCTGGCTGAGGGAAGAAGGTTCTCACCCAAGATTTGATGGTACATTGCCCCGTCCATCGTCCCTTTGATGCGAGTGCAGTTGTCCTGTCCCTTTAGCAGAAAAACACCCCCAAAGCAGAATGTTTCCACCACCATGTTTCACAGTTGGGATGGTGTTCTTGGGGTCATAGGCAGCATTCCTCCTCCAAAGACGGTGAGTTGAGTTGATGCCAAAGAGCTAGATTTTGGTCTCATCTGACCACAACACTTTCATCCAGTTCTCCTCTGCATCATTCAGATGTTCAGTGGCAGACTTCAGACAGGCCTGGAGTTGGCCCCCAGGTTTGCACACATCTCAGGAGGGATTTTGGCCCACTCCTCTTGGCAGATCCTCTCCAAGTCATTAAGGTTTGGTGGCTGACATTTGGAAACTCGAACTTTCAGCTCCCTCCACAGATTTCCAATCGGATTATGGTCTGGAGACTGGCTAGGCCACTCCAGGGACAATTTAGACAGGAGCCAGTTCACCTCCCAGCATGTCTGGAGTTTTGTATGTTGATTTATTAATATATGATAATAAATAGGTAGGTATGGTAACGCGTAGAGAAACCGAATAGGACTTCCCAAAAACGATTATGCGGAGAAGTAATATTTGATGTTTAAAAATGTTAAAATTAAAAAAACTGCGCATAAAAAATTATCTAATTGCAAACAGATCTTAGGAAAACTTTTTATAATTTTCAAATTTTTTTTTTTTATGGGGTCACATTCAACTTTGTATTGAACCTCAGAATATTTGTGTTTATTATAGTAAATCCTGAACATTAAAGTGGAACTTTTTTGGTGTGTAGGGGATGTATGGGGTATAAGAGGTGTACGGGGTGTGTAGGGGATGTACGGGGCGTAAGAGGTGTAGGGGATGTAAGGGGTGTACGGGGTGTAAGAGGTGTAGGGGATGTATGGGGTATAAGGGGTGTAGGGGATGTACGAGGTGTGTAGGGGATGTACGAGGTGTGTAGGGGATGTACGAGGTGTGTAGGGGATGTACGGGGCGTAGGGGATGTACGGGGCGTAGGGG